CGAGAACTGCGGGCGTGCCTCCGGCAGCGGAATAAAGCCTGGTCCAGGTAACAACAGGATGTGAGGAATATCGATGTTTTCGGAATCATTGTACTGCACTAAAAAATGCAAGAGAACCAGATCCGAGGAACGACTAGCAGCGGATTCAGTACAAGCACCAAAGCGATTGTATGCCTTCCTCAGGTGAAGAATCAGAGCAATGCCTGGACTTCCTCATAGACCGGAAATTCTGCGTCCGTGTTGGTAAATCGCTCTCTGTGTGGTATTCCGCTCCCAGTGGGGTCCCCCAAGGCTGACCTGGTTCTTTCAACCAGCTCCCGATGGACGCTTTCAGGCTGCTGTACGCTTCCAATGTCAGACCAAGACTTGAGTATGATGGTGCGGCGACATACCCCTGCACGGCCGGTGAACTGGATACGTTGGAGTGTGTACAACGTGCTGCCACTAGACACGTTGTTGGACTACGCGGGACCAGCTATGAAGGTCGTACACAGGCTACTGGTCTGTTCCCAATTGCATATCGACGCCTCAGGGGAGATCTCATCTGCCTGAGGAAAATCCTGAGAGGTGATATGGGCTCGGAGCTGCAACATTACTTCCCTTTACGGACAGAGCACCACACACGTTGCGGAAACTTCAGTTAGTTGGTCTTCCGTTAGTCTACCGACTCTCGTGTAGGTCAACAACACTCTGGAATTCCCTTCCAGCGACTGTGGTGGAAGAGAAGACAGACGCTGCTTTTAAACGGCGTCTGGATGAGCATCTGAAGGGGCTATGGAGGAACGAAAACTTGTGATCGGATCTTNTCGGATCTTCGACCTAGTGGTGATGGGGCTTACACGGGCACCCTGCCCTCTGCACTCAATCCAGAAGACATAAGACACTGAGTGTCGTAAACCATGGCGCTGGTGCATCTTTGCAACCGCATTCCATCGGAATTTGTCATTTCCTCTTCGACACTGCTCTCAACTTTGCAATTTTCATTCAGATGTGCGGCATAAAGACGACAACCGAAACAGCCCCACGCAAGTGCTTAGTTAAAGTTGTTCAAATTGATAACTATTGGATCTAATGATGCTTGTCATTTCAAGTTTTGGAGCCTCGAGTATCTATCCCTATGATCGCGATTTGCCCATTTTACTACCTTCTGAATATGAGAAAAAGGGCTGGTTTGTTTCATTAACGTTTGAGAATTATCTTAGACAGCATTTAAGTGCAGCAAGGTCATTTGTTCCTGAAAAACCTCTTCAATCACCGGATTTCACTGATGGCTTGTATGCGCTTGTTCGGAATGGGGAAATAATGAGCATCTATTGAGTAAGGACCACACCCACACCGAGTTTTTGTTGAATCCGTAACATTATGATTTCGTGTCTGCTTATTCACAACCGTTTATTTGTCTCGACAAATACTAACCGTTTTTTAATCATAAACCGGTAACTAGCGAATAATAGCCGAGATACAACTCGTAATCATGAGAATCCGCTTCTCGGTTTATCGAATGGTGATATGGGACTTGAAATACCGAACTACGTTTTGAGATGTTATGTTGAGTCAGACGATAATACTACGAAGGAATATGTTGACCTATGTACATGAAGTCGCAAGATGTACCTGATAACACATATATTCATTGGACTTGTATGAAACATGTATGTATGCGATGTGGTACACGAACGAAACCACAGCGTACTTTTCCTTTACCTTTCTCCTTGATACTGTCAACATCGTCACTGTCTGTAATTTATTGTTAAGTCTATTTATGACAGGAACAGGTAGATGAAGCGTTATAAGGCTCAATGAATGATGAAAATCTAAACCGACATCTTTAATGTTATCCCTATAGCAAAATGTTGATTTCACGACGCTGTTTATCAAACGTTGCGTAAATCATTTGATTCACATCTTGACAACACTAACATGACATCAATATTTTATTCTGTTTCTCAGCATGAAGGGGGCACAAGGCTAGAATTAGCCCATCGTTTTGCATGGTAAGCATATCATCAGGAGTTTATCATTCATGTGATCAACCAGGACTTGGCTCATCCGGTGTTCCAGCTCGCCTCTCAGGGTGATGCCGAGGGTTTGAACAGTTTGTTGTCTGCAGATCCACAGTTGATCAACCGACCTGACTATGACGTAAGTGTGTAACACTGGCTAATTCACTTCAGGGTAATATGCCTTTGCACTTGGCAGCTCTTTCCGGGTCGGTTTCGTGTGTTCAAATATGTTTGAACACTTTGGAGCGGAGAGCGGACGAACTTGATTGGCAAACAGAAATACAGCGCAAAAATTTCTCGGTATGTGAGCTGTTGAGGTCCAATAACTGAAGTAGGACAGAGACGCCGCTTGTTGTGCTGTCACCGCTGGAAGTATTGAATGCCTACAATTGCTGCTAGATGCGGGGGCTCGAACGGATTATCGCTTTGCCACTGAGATTCCAATTTTGGTGGACGCCCTGACTGGTTCAAACATACAGGTATGCATGATGTCTCCCTCCAAAGGCGCTGACGAGGTCTCTTGTTAGATCACTCGTCTCGTGTTAGAATCTATTGAAGCAGACTTTGCATTGAGTCGACGTGACCAGTATTGGTTAGTAGCGCTAAAACGGGATTTACGCATTACTCTGGAGTACTTCAAACTGCTCAAGGCATACGCGGTCCCATACGGGATAGGCGACTTCGAGGAGCTATGCCTCAGTCTAATTGAAGTAAGTCACTCCCTACCGCGCATGAATACAGATCTTACTGCTTGTTTTTTTTTGTATTGGTTATATGCGATAAACAAGCAAAGATTGGCAGACGTCCCCAAGTTTCAGTGTTACGTTGTTCATTTTCGCTCATTACCCATGGATAGCAACATTCAAACGGATAATCGTTCTCATTTTACGTGCACTCACTCACAGAAATCAGATCGCTTACTAAAATTGTGGTTTCTTCTATTTTCTCCTATGGCTTTATTTTTGACCGAGACACAATTCTCTCTATCATTAGACACTAATTATCCTCTTTTTTCTCTAACCCGTTTACTGCGCCTGTATTCACCATTCTGTTGCTTATTCCTGAGTTGCATACCCTTAAATCTCCAACCTTGAATTTCAGCTAATTTCTTTTATTTTTTCATAATTACTTCCTTTTATTGAACATATAGAAATACAATTTTCACGACGGAGGAAGCGGCCAATCAAAAGGCTGTCATATAACAAACAATGGAAAAGTCAGGCGGTGGTGGTGGGATTCGACTATCGCCGTTTTTTTTACTACCCTGTGAATGTTATATTACTGTTTTTACACAAGGAAACCACAGCCAGTGAATTGGCATACTCTCGAATTTATGCTCACAAGGTGTAAAGTTAGTGTGATAAATAGCTAGTCTGTGGGACTGTATAAATTATTTAAAGTATACCGATTTTTAAATGGAATTCATGTGCTTTCGGAGTATATATTAGTTATATTTATGGGATGGAGTTTAAAGATCAACATTTAATAGCATTTCCATCGACTCGCACCAGACATTGGAGATTCCACGATAGAATCCGAAACACAACCTTGCGAGTGTTCCAGGTCCTACTTACTGGCTATATTCTAAAAACCAAAATCATTTCGAGGATTACAGTGAATTTTCACCGTGTTTTTTTCTTCAGATATGCCATATATCATGAGAACACTTTTAGCTCAATCGACTCTGAGGTTTCTATCCCACTCACCACACAGAAAGAACATTCAACGCCTAGCATCGGCAACTTGAATTTCACGTTTTGGCTACTTATAAGTAGCATAACGATGGGCTTTCACGTCACAGTCATAGCCTGTAATCACTGAACCATTATTCTGATCACTTAATGATCTGATTAAGAGCAGTAGATTTTCAGAACTAATATTTCCCTTATTCCCACTGCCAGGTTTCGTAACTTGCAAGTAGTCTCTCTCACGCTGAACACCCCAGTCCCGGATTTGAATTATGAAATTTAAGCATCGTATGGTAAACTGTCGCTAAAAGAATGTTTTATCCCATAAAGCATAGATAAGCTAGCTGAGTTGTAGAGCGAAACTGGGTGACAATAAATTATCCGGTGTATAAAGGACCTGTAGAAGGTTGCAAGATTAAATAAAGCCCCTAAAATCTTCCCAGACTATGTTTTCCTCTCAGAGGGATTTTCTATCTTAAGAAACGATTGTATCAGTGAGTCATGGTAGTTGATGCCTTAAACATACGAACTGTCATCTAATAAAGAAAAGGATAGTTTTTTTCCGAGAGAAACGATTTAGTTGTCAGTCAACGTGTTCGACACATCTTCAGAGTTTGGGTTCATTTTTTCGAATTTCACGCACAATGAGCTTCTGTGAATGAATTTAGATTTTGTTTTCATGTCAGCAACGGCCTAATGGCTCTTCGTTGTAAACTGAATTTATCCTTTTTGCATGGAAGTGTCCTCGAAAATGGTTTCCTTGTTGCAATTTGAAGACATCCTCAGTTATTTCTCTTGAGTGCTTTTAACTCTGACTATCGTTCGTTGACTATCTGTGCATTATAAGAGATTCAAAGATAAAATTGGTATTGATTTTTGCCGATAAAGCTCCCTTCTGTTACTTGTTTCTTATAAAAGAGAGAAAGAGAAATTCTCGGTTCCGGTTCGATAAAGTTCAATCGGAACGGACTGGCTTGTAGTCCGTGTCGATATCGTTTGAATGCAGTGTTCGTAGGTGTTTTAGGGATATTTAAACCTAGTATTTTGTAAATAGCCACTTAACTGGCACCAGGAAGTGAATTGCGAGGGCCTACTGAGAATGTGAATAGGCAATCTCTTGTGTAGAGAAGTAGACCGGCCCTGCAAGTTTTCCTACAGCGGTCTACCTCAGTTACTCGTCAGTAGAGTAGGCAGCTCCATCGGTACCAACGAAATCACGTTTGTTTCATCCCATCAGAGGCCACCATTGGGTTCACTTTCACTAACTGGTTATGTTTGGCGTCTGATTCAGACACGGCCAGTGGCAAATCCACTTTCTCCCCTTCTTTTCAGCATTGTGATGGGGGTCTCTTTTTGGCTGAAAGCTTGTATATAATCTTGCTAAAGCTTCCTTACAGTACAATACAATCCGCAGACAGTGGTACATATGTAATGAAATTGTCTGTTTCGTTCAAAAATTGNGTTATGGGTTTTTTCGTGCGTGCACTCAAGGTGCTTACCATGCTCCAGTGATCGATAAAAACTTCTTTTCGCCACCTGCATACCAGCCTGGTCCGGATCGCGATCGATAACCTTCAGTCCATCTAACAAATGGGTAGGTCAATCAACCAAATAAGAAAGTACTGCAACACTAGCATACCTCTAAAACGATCCGAACGCATCTTTCGGAGTTAGTTAACTGATTCCACCTCTATAGTCTAATGTTATATTTTCATATTGACTA